AGGCCCGGGGGGGAGGGGGGGAAGGGAGGGAACGGCACGTGCACGTGCGAGGGAGAGAATCGCCATCGTGTAAGGTGTTTTTGTGTCGCGCCGTGTGCACGTGTGCACGAGATCATCGCGGATACGCGGTCACGAAACCGAAAGAGCGGCGACGTCGAGTTAGATCGTTCCGTCAAGGGCGACGGATGGGGAGGATCACGAGGCATTTTTCCGCGTCGCTTTTTAACCCCTATTCGCGAGGACTACGATCAGAAGTAACAATCGATCTCACGTCTCCTACGGTGACGATTCTGATTACACACGAAAGAACAGTTTTGCTGGCAAATCTAAAAATTTGATCAGCTACATATCTGAAAATAATTTTGTTTGCAAATTATTTACATCGTATTATATTATATTATATCATATATGATGTTCAAATTGGTTGCTAGAAGAATTTTTGCAATATTATTATGATGCTTAAGTGTCCTACATAAAATTTTGATAATCCAAAACAAAGTTATTTTTAGATTTATATTTGGTCAAAAATTTAGATTAAATTTTTAAATTTGCACACGTGTTCTTTTCGTGTATGATCATCGATCATACCATGATCCTTCGCGAGTCACTTCTAAGATCTCTCCGTTGCAATCTCGCTCTAGATCGTAGAGGAATGTTCGTTACGTTGACGAGGCGCCTCGATCACGCACGACGGGAGCGAGAAACAAGCACAGCCGAGCCAATTAGGCGTCGAAGGGGATCAACCACCCTAAGCGCCTGCGGCATCGACGTATCGAAATTAATCGGCGCGTCAGCTAATTCTCCGCAAGCTCACTCGGGATACTCCGTTATCTGTGTATACAAAGTGTACCTTTCGATTCGTCATAGTTAGCTTTTTCCATTACAATCGCGGTACTTTTTCAGATTTCAGATTTTTTTCTCGAAGAAGAAGCTTTTCCGCTGTCGTCATTCTCATTGATCGCTCGTGCCGATTTTGCTCAACGCGGAGGCACCTTGTTTCGCGATTGGGGGAACGAAGAATAAATAATTCGGGTCGCACGTTCCGCTGTGCCACGAAGCGGAATGCGCCTATTAAGCGACGCGGCCACGCGCCCCGAATAAAGAGAATCCCGGGGGAAGCTAAATAGTTTTTCTATAGCCGCAGGCAGTGCACGATTGTGCATCGAGCCATCATCGGCTGCGTATGTACATACGTACGTATACGTACGTATACGTACGTGCAACAAAACGTACCGAATATACCGTTCGCGTTCTCACGTTTCGACGTCAATGCGCAGATACGATTCGCGCCCGGAGCGCGGTTAGGTACATCGAGGAGCGCCAACAGGATCGCCGAGACATCGAGATGGGAGAAACGGGAGAAACGACGAGGACGGATAGTGGTAGCGGCGTATCGAGTCGCGCCGATAAATGGCTCGATAAACGAGAACTAGGGATTCAGCTCTGTTTATTTATCGCGGCCGATCGACCGCCGGCCGGCGGCCGCTTCGCCTTCACGGTCGCGCGTAAATGGCCGCGGGCCTTTATTTAATAAGTTGTTATAAATTAAAGGGCTACCGCATATTAAACCACCCTCTCGGCATATTTATAGTGATTCTTAAGAGAGCGTATATATACCGGGCGTACGGTTATTGTAAATCATCGCGGTGCGCCGCTGCGCGCACGCCACGTACACCGACGTGTACCCCTCCCCTCCCCTTCTCCCTCGGTCTTTCTTTTTTCTTACGCGGGTTCCCTTATGAATTTATCTTCGGCGATGAAACGACAAACGGTTTTAATTGCCGCTCCGGGCATAGCGCGCTCCGATGATCTGGCGATCTCCTTCGCGGTTACCGCGAGATCTTTCGATGTTGCCTCGGCGCCTCGTTATCTTCGCTTCGATTCTGGTCTCACGATGATAAGCGCGCTTTTTTTTCTCTTTTACACGGGAAAAACAGTTTTGCTGGCAAATCTAAAAATTTGGCCAGATTTGGATCTGAAAATAATCTTGAAAATAACTTTGTCGACCATCAAAATTATTATGTAAATTTTAAAAGATAATAATACTGCAAAAATTTTTGATCTGAGTAATCAATTTGAACGTCGTACATAATAATTTTAAAGACTCAACAAAATTATTTTCAGATTCTGTATCCGGCCAAACTTTTTTAGATTTTTTTTTTAATCAGCAGAATTATTCTCTCCGTGTATCATTTCAAATTTGAACACAAGCGAAAAAGAGACAAATCTCTCGATACTCGTATATTAATTACGTTTCGGAAAAAGTATTGTTATATATACAGCTACTTCTTGATGTTATTTGAAATCTGACAGATGCAACAGTAATAGACATCTAACTCGCGTGTAAGTGAAAAAAGAGAGTAAGGTTTTTTTCGTAGAATGAAGGAAGCTTTCTAGGATCGATTGTTCCGAGCATTCGGCAGCGATAATGATCGTTCGGCATCCAGATAGGGTAACGTAATGCGCTTAACCGGGAGAAGACGATGGTATCGTGGTAGTTCGATAGTTCGCGCTAACAGCATTTGACCCCGGGGCCGCGGCTTGTTCCCGGTTTGTCGGAGACGCTAACAATGCCTTATGTCGGCGTTTCGCTACTCGTGTCACGCGCGTACGCGCGCGAGAGTTATTCGACGGCGGAACGTGTTCCTCGTTCCTGGAGTTTCCGCTATAATCCGATCATCCCCCGGGAGTTCCCCCGATCCCCCCCCCCTCTTTCTCTCTCTCTCTCTCTCTCTCTTCTCTCTCTCGCTGCGAGAATACTCCACCGTTCCATTGTCGTCCAGTTTAGCTTAGAATGGCACGCGGCAGGGTTTGCTGCGTTACCATCGCAAACGATACAAACAATCTAATTTCGCCGTCGTAAGTAAGAAGGGGGCGACGGGGGGAACGGCGGAAACCTCATCTATAAACATCGCTCGAATTTGGACTGAAGTGTCCCCCCGCTCGGAGGGAGAGGACACTCTCTTTATCGAATTTCTTTGTCTCTTGAATCTTTCTTCCCATCTCGTGTCATTATAATTACGGTTTACTATAATCTCGCGTGACACACGCGCACATTTACATGCACGTATATACATGCAAGAGTGGAGAACTCTAAAGCGCGCCGCTCGTCGTAAGTCATCTCGAGGCGAGGAAGCGAGGAAGGACGAGAACGGGACGGGAAGAGGGGGAGGGGGGAGGGGGAGAAGTGTCCCCGAAAATCGTGAAACCCACGCGGCAACAGTCGCGCAACAGTCTCTCTCTCCCCCCGAGGTGGGTTAATATATTTTATCTACTGGCCGGGGATACATCCTGCGCGCCGAGGTGCGGGCTTTTATACACCGCGTACCGGTATTTATGTGTCGCCGCCTTGCCTAAGCGTTTGATATATGAACTATGAAAGGGTGGAAGGAATGATATAGGAGTGGAGCAAGGACGAGGAGGAGGACGGAGGACCGCTCGTCTGACTCGCCTCAGGATATATGTTCTTTTGACAATGAGAGAGGAAAGCCCGCAGAGAAATATGTTTACCTAATACTCCCGCGCGTGTATCTGCGAAGAAAAAAGGAATCACGTTGTCGAACTCCCGCTGTCTCCTTTCATTTCTAGCTGGAAAGTTTTCTGCGAGTATCTCGAGGAAAATATCCCGAGGAAAAATCGTCGTGTCTCTCGACGATGAGCATTAGGAGGCATAATTTGAGGGACGAAGGATAAGGCTCCTTCAAGTAGGCATCGCGGAAACTAAGGGGAGGAAAGAGAGAAAGTGAGAGGGAGAGAGAGAGAGAGAGAGAGAGAGAGAGAGAGAGAGAAGAGACGAGAGAGAGAGAAGAGAGAGAGAGAGAGAGAGAAAGAGACGAACCGAAGCAGTGAGAGAGGGCGGTTACTTGATTGGGTTAGCACTTAGTGCCGTGATTGCCGTTTGTGACTCCTTTGCCATTTCGCTTCCAAGTACCCTCTGCTCGAGAGATTGCGAATCAGGGGGACGGCCCCGATTATTCCCGTGTCCCTCTCCTCCTCATTGCTCGTGCGAGTTTCAGAAAATTTTCCATTTGGCCAACTGCGTGCCAACTGGCTTACGTGGGATTTTCACCGATCTCTCTCGAGACGTGCCCCGCGGTTTTCCTCTGTAAAAGAAAGAGGAAACGCCGCCCTTCTCCCGAACCTGCGCTCTCGCCCGCTCCCCGTTTTTCGTAATCAGCTATGCAAACGATCCTCGAGCGCAATAAAAATGGAAGTATCTATAATGGCGTCGGTGAGTTTTTGCTCGTAAACGTTTCCCGTGAAATACACGCGCTTAATAACCCGGGCTGGGGAACGGCCTCGTACACCGGTGACCGTTTCTTGCCGCGATATGCGCGCGCGCGGATGTCACGCACGGGAGCGTTAATGCCGTCCGGCGAGCGCATCCTCGAATTTCTCCGTGATATCTCGGAGACGTATGCTTCCGACGTATGCTGCAATTAACGGTTATACGCGTGACGCGAGGGAACGAGGGGGCGAGAAGGATCGTTCATCGCGGATTCTTCCGCCGAGCGCGAGCGGCGTATTCATCGGACGGCATTAATGCTCCCGATTGTACCGCGTTATTCGAAACTGAGTGAAAACGAGCGGCTCGTAGCAAGCACGTTGTTAGTTGTCATTAAGCCATAGTCTCAAGGGGTTGCCTTATGATCGCTAATGATAATTGCGGCATGCGCGGCGATTGCCTGATCAACGTGATTCCCGGAGCCCGTTCTCATGCATTCGAATTTTATAGCGACGGGAGAAGGAGGGGAGAGGGGGGGGGAGGTAAAAAATCCGGGAAGAAAAAATTAAAGAGCAAAACCATTGTTTATCGTCTCATCCGGTCCCGTCGAGCAATCAATTCGAGTTTCAATCTCACGAAACACCCTTTGCGCGAGGACCGCGTTGCTCGAAACTCGTAAACGTGAAATATTCGCGAAAGGATGATTTATCCTGTCCACGGAGAGTCCTTTCCGAACCTATCTCCTTTCCATTAGCCGCGTCATCAAAATCACCGACCGATCTACACACACGTGTAACGCGCCGTTCCATGCGCACATACGCACATTCGAAGAAACGCGCCGATAGAGAGAAGAAAGAAAGAGAAAGAAGGAGAGCCATAATAAATTACCTATAAATCAAAAAGGGAGTAAAAGGATAGCGGCGAGAAGCGGCAGCCGCGGCGAGTTACGGTTTCGCGTTAAATATGAAATACTGCGAGTCCGGGCCCATAGTATATTATATACAGGTATACATGCATACACGAGATATTAAGTAGCTGCTTAACATATTTTAATTGCCGGATTAAAATTTAAAATGTCTCAAGGCGACGTCTGCACTCCGGTTAATAACTGCTTCTTCCGTTTGTAAAAAAAAAAATCTCTAAAGTGATGATGAAGAAACAACTTACAAGACATCCAGCTCTATTCTTTCACAGTATAGAAGATAAAAATCTAAAGCTTTAGGTCGAGATAAACACGAATCTTTGCTTCGATTATTCTTTCGTAGAACATCTCGTAATTTTCATTTGCGTTCGCGAAACACCATAGAAACTATTCTACATCGATTGCCTTAATAGGGGATGAAGAAAGAAAGAGAGAAGGAAACATCGGAATGATTTTCCCAAGTGTGGACACGAGTGGAATGATATATCGCCGGCGAGCATATAATGCGTGTGAATAACGATAAACGATATTTTCGTCGATATTTACGGCTGCCCTATTCTCCGGTCGGCATTAGAAACTTCCCCCCAAAATCGTAACGAGTTTCAAAGGAAGGCGATCTCTTAGCCGAAGGCTCCAACGGTTCCGACATGAAGGCCGCGCTCGCCCATTAAAAAGACCTTATTAATATTGTAATTCCCTTTTAATACGCGTAAATCTAGGATCAAGACAAGGCCACCTCGGAGACTGTTTTATAGCTGTTTAGGTTTTATAGATCTCTCTCTGAATACGCCAGTCCTGTGAGGTAATGCTTCACATACTGAAGCTAGTCTCGTCTGATCAAGATTACACCGCGATATAAGTAATTATATAAATAAGTAAGAGTATGTTCCAAAACCTAATTTTGTTTGTTAAAAACTCTACAGTTTATGTCACGCAAATTATAGATTTCAAGTTAACAAAGTTAATTTTTGGAACATATCCTAAATAATACTGATCGAGATCGTCGTCTGCAAAATAATTCATTTATTTTTTACGAGTGTTTATTTTTACGAATGTGCTTATAAAAGATAGCGATGGCTCATACAAACGTTACCTCAGTGGCGTATACGAGACATTCGAGAAGGGCGCATAAAAGAATTAATTGGAACATACTCGACAAAGTGTACTCAACAATGCGTAATTTTTTGTAAGATTGATATCTCGCAGAAGGAGAGAAATCCCGGATCGTAGGGGGAGGAGGGCGATGGTGCTCGAGGTAGCATAAAAGCGGCGCGCATACGTGCTAGTTGTTAAGTAGGCGCTAATTATCGTCGTCGGAGATAATAATCGTATCAGAGGGGAAGGTGTGCCGTATTGAATCGAAACTACCGATCATGCTTCCAAATAGTGACCGACCGCGGTCAGCTTTCGTCCGTAGGCATGCGCGCGATAATCGAAAACGACGCGTATTCACGCATTCACACGCAGATACACACGCAGGTCAGGCCAGGCCAGAGCAAGTCAGGCAGGCAGGCAAGCACACACGCCAGCCAACGATCGCGCTGATGGCCCGGCCTTGCGTAAAGGAGATAAATCGACCGTGCCATTCAAAGTCGTGGCTGCCCGAAGCCTCGAGCCGTCGAACACATCGACGGCCGAGGAGATCCGACGCCCGCGCCTCTACACGCGTATCGTTTCCGACGATGTGCCCAAGAAGAGACCGAATCGCGCGCATACCTTTATTATCGGTAACACAAAGGGCCCGGGAAAGGGCCCGGCCGGCGTGAGCGCCGCAGCCGCAGCCGCAGCCGCAGCCGCAGCCGCCGCCGCCGCCGCCGTCACTGCGAAGTCGGTCCTCTGATGACCGCTGGTATGACGAAGTAAATTATTTATTCACCGGCGACTGCACGAGTGAATAATGGTTCCCTCCTTCGGCGCGAATGGCACCGCGAGAGAGCCGCGTTATTGATCACCGAAATATCAAGAGTAGGCGTATCCATCATCCGGCGGTCCGTCGATGGACGCTCGTGTCGAAACGTTACATACTCTCTCGCGAGTTAACTCGCGGGAGAGCGCGAGCGCGGGAGAGCCGCTTGTGGAGAGAATGCCCGCGAGAGAATGCGTCATATACGTATACACATGCACGCATTTATATATATATATATATATAAACATATACGGGTTACGTACCAACAATAAAATCGATTTTTCACATGGGACCGTTTATCATACGGCTGCGATAATGGGACGTGCATGGAGATACGGGATAAATATTTCGAAGTAAATAATCGTTAGCTCTATGGTATCGGAGTGTCGAGGGGGCATTAATAACGCCCGGGTGCCTGTCTTTACGCTGCACCACGAGGTCCGAATCTCCGAGCTCGGCGAGCCACGCCGTTTTGCGCGCGGAGACCGCTCCTCTCTCGCATCGTATCGTTTGAGCGATCGTTCGATCACGAGTGTCCGCCGCTTAACCACTTCGCGCGATTCTCGAGACCGCGGTCGTTCTGCAAAATTGCCGCGACGATTTGGCGGCGGACAATGAGCAGAGAGCGGTGACGAGGGGAGCAGGCACTTCGGCATCCGTTTGCGAGATTCTGCTTCTTGAGGCTCAGCGGGATGCTAATTGCGGCTCGATCGTGGCTCGATCACAAATGAGGATCGGACGCGTTGAAGGGGGCCGCGCGATTATCGTATCCTCGCGCGATCGATAAATTCGGAAAATTAAATTCTTACACGACGAGCACGAGTCGTGCCGCGAACGTTTCGCGATGTCAGAATCCGCGCTCGACCTCGCGTACCATTTCGCAAGACTAACTTCCTGAACTAACTGTCCAAATACGAGCTCGTTAAACTGCCGCGATCCGTGACGGGATCAATGGACGGGATTGCAACGGAGTAAGATTAATTATCGTTGAAAATTGTCTTCTCGACCCGACGGCTGTCGACGCGATCACTCCGGAACGCTGTTCCTCCCGGGCGAGAGAAAAAAAAGAGATAGAGGGGGAGAGAGAGAGAGAGAGAGAGCGGCCGTTCCCGCAACGATGTCCGTGACAAATCTACGGCGATTAATCTCAGTTGAATACCTTTCCGTGTTGTACGCGCCAGCCAAGCCAGCCAAGCCAGCACGAGGCGGCTCGGTCGCGTTTATTGCTCGGTCCGCGGTAGACAGTGACCGTTTACAAGGTGTAACTATGTACGGCCAGGTGGTCGAATGTCGAAGCCCCGAACGAAAATCGAGCCCGTCAGGAATGACCCCCAGCTGAGAATTCCCCGGGCTCCTTATTTTTATTTCTCACCTCCTATGGCGTTACCTCTTCATCCGCGCTCTCTCGCGCCTCCTCTTACCGGCCCGAAATAAACTCCGTGCCTCCGGTCTGCGGGTTTCTCCGGCGGCTCGCCTCGATAATTACGTGATCGATACGCTAAATGCCCCGCGGGCCGGTTATGTAAATAAACAGACGCGCGTAGCTAATTGGGCATAGGGGAGGTGCGGGCAGAGAGCAAATAGAGTGAGATTGACGCGAATTTCTTAATGACAGACCCTAGACTATCCGAAATATTTTTGTTGTCCGATTATTATCGAAAAACGTAGCGACGTAGGAAAACGTAACGAACAAAAATTTTATGCTTTTATTTTCGCGGAGGAAGTTTTGAGATCATTCTAATTATCTTAAATTGAAATATAAAATAAAAAAATCAATTCGCCGTCCAATAATGTTACAGTTTACGGCTGCAGGTTGCGTCCGATCGATAGTTTGTTCGCGCTGCGCGCCCGCGATTTCTGCGGGAGAATGAAAGAGAGAGAATACACGTCCGATTTTTAATCTACTAATCTACCAATGTCGGACGCACGCAGACGTTAGCTGGCTAAGGAGAATCGGGGATAAGCGCGCGCGTACCTTCGTAGGGTGCGAGAGGGATATCCGCGCGAGAACCTCGGGGCCCCGGACTCCTCTCGGGGGCCCCGCGCGCGCGCGCTTCGGATTCTTATTTCCTCATAAATAATTTTAATGACGCGCCGCGGCAGTTCAGGTATAAGGCCGGGACCTATATGCAGATCCCCGTATCCGTAGGCAGACTCCGTATTGTTATTTATTATGTTCGCCGTGGCTCTCTCTCGTACGGAGCCCCGCGCGCACGCGGGAGTGCCCGCCGACCATTTTTCATATCAACGTTCTCTCTACACCAGGAGACGCTGCGCCCCTGCGTCCTGCGTGCCCGCGGTTTGTAGATTTTACACGTGCGTCGGAT